GAGAATCCCAAGCTGACAATGTGGAGACTGACCTTAAGAACTGTGAGATCACAATCAGAGCCAAAATCAAGAGTCGGATGCTTAACTGACTGAGCCACCCAGGTACCCCTACTATTGCCATTTTTTAAAGAGGTAGGGCAAACAGATAGGACCAATAATCTTTGTATTGTATCACTTTGAAAATAATTATGTTTAGTGTGGAGAAATTGTAGTAAGATCTGATTTGCTTTCTTATTTAGAGTTAATACATTTTAGTAGATGTATCTTTTTTTTTGCCCCTATTTTCTACACAGGTAACTATGTGTTTATAAAGAAGACATCCTTTATGAGTTTTTCTTAAGAAACAAAGCACTTTTCCTTACTCTTGCTGGATTGACAGGTTATTGCCCTTTTTAAGTGTGAAAACTGACTACAAACAGATATTTCTGATGGTGTGGTTGCAGCTATATATTACTGAATGAATGTAGCTATATTCCAAAATCTTATATAACAATTTAGTTAAGTAGATTTTTGGATTATATTGTCTATTATCTCTCCAAAAGGAAAATACAGAATTAATTGTATTTCTTGAGGGAAGTTAATTTTTTTTTAATTTTTAAAATGTTTATTTAATTTTGAGAGAGAGTGAGTGACGAGTGGGGGACAGGCAGAGAGATGGAGATAGAGAATCTGAAGCAGGCTCCAGGCTCTGAGCTGTCAGCACAGAGCCCGATGTGGGGCTTGAATTCACGAAATGTGAGATCATGACCTGAGCTGAAGTCCACACTGAACCAACCAAGCCACCCAGGCGCCCTAATTAAAAAATTTTTTTTAATGTTTGTTTATTTTTGAGAGGGAGACTGAGCAAAAGAGGGGGAGGGGCAGAAGGAGAGGGAGATAGTGAATCAAGAGCAGGCTCCAGGTTCTGGTCTGACAGCACAGAGTCAGACACGGGGCTCAAGCCCATGAAATGTGAGATTATGACCTGAGCCAAAGTCAGATGCTTAACCAACTGAACCACCCAGGCTCCCCTTGAGGAAAGTTAAATTAAAAGATTAGAGTCAGTGTTCGGAATTCTACTTATAGTTCCCTCCCATGCTATACTTTTCTCCTTAAAACAAGTTTGTCTTTCAAGATCGAGCATTTTGTGTTTGCTAATTGGTCGTAGCATTCATTCAGGCTATATTTATTGAGTTTCAACTATGTATTAGATACTAAGCTGGGTAATAGGGAACTCTAAATATAATTTGGAAATCTAACCTGTTTAATACTGTTTACTTATTTTTTTTTCCAAAAAAAGTGGTTATTAGGTGTTGGAATTTTTTTAATGTTTATTTTTGAGAGAGAGTACATGCATGAGTGAGGGAAGGGCTGAGAGAGGGAGACAGAGGATCCGCAGCAGGTTCCACACTGACAATAGAGTCTGATGTGGGGCCCAAACTTATGGAGCCACGAGGTCATGACCTGAACTGAAGTTGGACGCTTAACCAACTGAGCCACTCAAGTGTCCTGGTGTTGTAAATTTTTTAAAAAATGTTTATTTATTTTGAGAGAGAGAGAGAGCATGTTCATGCATGTGAATGGGGGAGAGGCAGAGAGAGAATCCCAAGCAGGCTCCTTGCTGTCAGCACAGAGCCTGACCTGGGGCTTGATTTCACAGTTTGTGAGATCGTGACCTGAGCTGAAATCAAGAGTTGGACGCTTAACCCAGTGAGCCACCCAGGCACCCCAGTTTTATTATATTTTTAATTGTTTCAAGATTCTAGTATATGTATGAGTTTCTGTGAGTTGGTACTTTAATACAAAGCCTTAAACATTTACTGATTTCTCAGGGACAGATGGAAAGTTAATCAGGTTAACTCTTCACATTTGAATCCATAGCATTTTAAGCACTGTTATTTAAAATGTCATGGTGAGCTGGAAAAAATATTTCACTGCCCTTGTTATCTCATTCTCACCTACTGTCCTATAAATCGTCATATTCTCTTTATTTAGGTGAGAAAAATGTTCTTAGGAGTGTATCATTCTGCTTGGGCTTCTATAACAAAATACCACAGACTGTGTGGCTCTAACAACAAATTTATTTCTCATAGTTCTGGAGGCTAGAATCCAAGGTAGGTTTCATTGTGAGGCCTCTTCCTTTGGCTTGCAGATAGCTGCCTTCTCACATGTGCTCCTGACCTCTCTGTGTACCTTTGTGGGAGGAGAGAAGGAAAGAGCTTGCTTTCTCTCTCTCTCTCTCTCTCTCTCTCTCTCTCTCTCTCTCCTTATAAGGGCATCAGTCCAGTTGGTTAGGGTCCCACTCTTATGACCTCATTTAACCTTAATTACTTCCTAAAAGCCCCATCTCCAAAGACAGTCACAAGGTGGTTTTGGGCTTCAACATACGAATTTTAGGAAGGCACAGTTCCATCCATAGCAGTGGCTGAGCTCTATTTAAAGAAAATGTGTATAAAAATCTACACATACAAAATTAATTATTCATATTATCAAAGGAAAAGGAACCAGATGCAATCTCTGTTGGCAAGGCATTTTATATTCACTATCACGTTTTATCATCCATCATAGTAACTGTGAGATGGTATTATTCCTATATTATAGGTAAGGATATTGAAGCCAGAGAGAGTAGTGAAGTTAGAATTCAAACTTCGATTTGTCTCTCATCTTGTCCTTGTTAGTGTTGCCCCATAAAAAGAGCTTTTATTTCCAAAAGTAGTCACTCTTTGGATCCTTTTAAAAAGTATGTTACCCAGTCATTTCATATATTTTACTTTGTACATTCCTTCCTATCTTTATGTGTGTTCTCTTGTGCATGAGCTTCACATTTTGAAATGTGTTTAATAGAAACAACTATCAGTGTTTCTGGTTGAGGGGATAAAATGAAATTAAATAGATGGGAAGACATTTTCAGATATTTAAAGGACATTAAAATTGTGTTTTAAGTATAATTAGTTATAGATATCAGAAGATCCTGAGAAATGATTGAAAGCAACCACTTAAATGATCATTTTTGACTTAGTAAAAACCATTTGATTCTATTGTAGAAATATAAATAGAAATCTAATTTGCTTCTGTTTTTAGCAGAGTGTGTAATGATATATACACAAATTGTAATTTCAGATATAGTCAACATTGGAATAAAAATGATTGACTGAATGAATGAGCAAATGAATAGTTCTTGCCAGTTCATTATACTTCTGTGTCAAGGAGTATGCTGTCTGTAACGTACCCAGTTATCTCTTTGGCAGTGCTGGATACACAGAGAAGAAATCTTTAACCTGAGGCCCATGAGCTCCAGTGAAAACTAGTTGTTTTTTTTTTTTTTTAATTTCACTTTTGTTAATTTGATATTTATGATTTTTTTTTTCCTATCAAACACTCTATGTAGTGGATGTATTTGTATTCCAATGACACCCTATTTACATAAAGCCGTGGCAGGCAGGATTTGGCTCTCAGGCTGCAGTTTGCTAATCCCTGATGTTGAAGAACAAAACAAGGGAGAAAAAGGAATACTGTTAGAAAAGTTATAATTACCTTCATATTAAGGAACAAGGGAATTAAATTTTTGGAGAAAGGCAGCTGTCCTTAGGGGTAACTTAATTGGCCTTTTGGTTGTAGAGAGGTTAAAGAAGAGTCAAACACTCTGCGTAATGAAAAGGGTGTCTTCTGTAGGTAGAGAAAACTTAATTATCTGTATTCTCTGGAGGGGTGAGACCAGAGAAAAGGACTGTGTGTGTGGCTTTTGGACTGAGTGAGGAGGAGGGTGGCAGAAAGGTACAAGGGAAGGAATTATACACAGTTCATTCAGTTTATTCGTGTGTAGTGCACACTCACCCATGTGCCAGGCAGTTTTAGATAAGCTAGGGATATTATTTGTGCATTTAGAAGCCTACATTCAGGGGCGCCTGGGTGGCGCAGTCGGTTAAGCGTCTGACTTCAGCCAGGTCACGATCTCGCGGTCTGGGAGTTCGAGCCCCGCGTCAGGCTCTGGGCTGATGGCTCGGAGCCTGGAGCCTGTTTCGATTCTGTGTCTCCCTCTCTCTCTGCCCCTCCCCCGTTCATGCTCTGTCTCTCTCTGTCCCAAAAATAAATAAACGTTGAAAAAAAAAAATTTTAGAAGCCTACATTCAAACTCCAAGAGACAGACAATAAGATAAATAAGGAAATTATAGTATCTTAGAAAATAAGTGCTCAGAAGAAACATTTTGAACTAAGGAGGGGAATATGGGGGAGGGTTGCAGTTTTAAATGGCGGGGTCTGGGACCTTGGAAAAGACTTGAAGGAAGTGAGAAATCAGGTAATGCAGGTATGTAGGAGTCCATGTTCCAAGTAGAGAAAATAGCAAATGCAAAGGTTTGAGTGGGAGAGTGTTTTGTAGGAAGAATAGCACGGAGATCAGTGTGGCCACATCAGGGAGAGTGAAGAGAAATAATGTCAGAGAAGTAATGGGAAACCAGATCACAGAGGGCCTTGTAGGCCATTGGGATAATTTATTGTTGCTTTTACTGGGAGTGTGGTAAAAAGATTTTGAGCCATTGAGCAACACAGTCTTGCTTAATACTGTAAGACATCACCTTGGCTGCTGAATTGAGAATGTTGGGAACTGACTAGAGTGAAGCAGAAGTGGAGACCAACTCATTTAGGAGGCTGCTGAAGCAATTCAGAAGTGGCAGTGATTTGAAGCAAGGTAGTACTTGTGAAGGGTGTTGTGTGCCTGTGTGTGTGTGTGTGTGTGTGTGTGTGTTGGGAAGCAAGATTTACCCAGGGACATAATGTGAGTTTGAGAAAACGGGAGCCACCAAGGATGACTCCCCTGTGTCCCCTGAAAAGATGGTGGGGCTTGGGCCCTTATCCCCATTTCCTGTGAATGTGACCTTATTTGGAAATAGTGTTTTTTTTAGGTGACTAAAATTAAGTCATTACAGTGGGCCTAATACAGTATGACTTTGTTCTTATAAATAGGGGAAATTTGGACATAGAGACAGACATACAGAGGGAAAAGGATGTAAAAACAGAGGGAAAATACCAGCTATAAGGCAAGGAATGCCTGATGCTACCAGAAGCTAGGAGAGGCTTGGAGTAGATTCTTCACGACAGTCTTCAGAAGGAAACAACCTTGCCAACTTGATCTCAGGCTTCTGACCTCCAGAAGGGTGAGACTATAAATTTTTGTTGTTTAAGCCATCCAGTTTATGTCAATTTATTACAGCAGGCCCAGATAACTAATCAGGAAACTTTCCTAATTTTGGGAAGTGTAGCCATGGATCTATCCATGGACCACAGACTCCTCAAGGGAGCAACTTTTCCTAATGGGCAACTGTTGGCAGTCTCAACTTTCTTCTAAGAAACCCTGCTTATTCTTTGTTAGAAACTGCTGAAGGCACTTCTGGCACCAAATGGATTTAACGGATCCATTTGATCAAGACAGAACAATTGGTTTATTTATCAATATGCCTGAAGAAGATTCTTAGATGCACAGCCAGTTCAGACAAATTACTTAAATCCCCAACATTGTCCAACTTGGGCATTTTTATTTTTAGTAAACAACTACAAGCCTCAAAACAATTTCTACATTAGATTCTGTATATGAAAGCCAGAAAATATAAGAGTATTATTTAAAATATCCTTTATTTACTGTTTTCTCTTATCTAAAAATTGCATGCATTTTTCTTCTTGTTGTTTTGGCTGAAAAGGGGGCTAGGGAAGGTTATCAAATGGCAAGGGACTTATGATCAAGAGAAATGATACCAGTGATAAACCATCAAAAGTTTTCCTTCAGTTGTATTGTCCCAGGTTATAATGTTTGCTTGAGAGAAGAAATAACTACCAAAGACAAGGAGCATATCTTCAGTTTTATTGCACAATTGAATCTACAGCTGTAAAGTGTTTGAGGTCATTTCTTAAACCACTGCACAATATATGCACATATATTTAGAAAACTTACAAAAATGTTCTTTAAAAATTTGTGCTCTAATAGGATTCATTGTATTTTACTGGCCAAGCATAAAAGTATACTCCAAATGCACCTTTCTCTAATTTTCCTCTTCCAATCCTATTGACATTTGCTTATAGCTAATCTGTATATGCATAGAACTGAGGGCATTATTTTACTGCAGCAGCCTTTTTAAAGATGTTATAAAATTTTTAAAGTATATTTTGTATCAGTACTTAATATTTGTAAACATTAACAAACACTCCCTCTCCAAACCTCTAGCTGCTGTTTGCTCACCATTTTTTTTTTTCATTTATTATTTCTGAGAGAGAGAGAGAAAGCATATACAGGGGAAGGGACAGAGAGAGGAGAGAGAGGATCTAAAGAAGGCTCTGTGCTGACAGCAGGGAGCACGACACGGGGCTCCAACCCATGAACCATAACCTGGACCGAAGCTGGATGCTTAACTGACTAAGCCACCCAGGTGCCCCTGCTCACCATTTTTTAAGGTGAAGGCTCCCATTTCTCACTGAAGTTTATGCAATGCTGAGCAGGCTCACATGGTCTCACGACCACCTTAAGCAAGTATTTGTTCTTTTGGTTATAAATCATTTCATCAGTTTGGGTGTTTTCCTGAACACCCACTCAGGGGCTCACTCCCAGGCAGGAGTTCTCATATTCATTCATACTTGAGCATGACTTAAGAGTGTCCAGATTTGCAGGCAGATCTGACTTCAAACTTACTACGTATAACACTTAAAAATCAATCCTTGTCTCCCCTCTGAGTTTTCCATAACTGGGGTGGGGGATGAGAAGGGACAGAGAGAGAGAGAGAGAGAGACAGAGACTAGGGTAAGTGCTGGCATCTTGCTGGGGAGAACAGGTACAAGTTTAGAATCACACCTTATCTTAAAAGGTTCTCATACCCTCACATTAGAAAGAAGGGTGGAAAGAGCACAGAGGCAGAAGTGATGGAATCTCATACAATTATTCACAGGTAATACTATGTATCAGGCACTCTTCTGCTACTCCTTAGCAAATATCTCTTTAACAAATCTAAATGCCCTTTAGCTCCTTTTCTTCCATAATGTAAATATGTCCCGGGTGTCCTGTTCTTCCTTTTCCTTTCTCCCTGCCCCTGGACTATTTTTTGCAGGCTCTGGCCTTTCCCATCATCTGCTGCTGCACTGTTTGTTCCCTGACTTGTTAAAGGCACATGGGTGGTACAGGAGAGAATGCTGCCTGTGTTTAAGTCCATGAAACTCAATGTAACAACAAGATCTAAAAAGGGAAAAGTTAGAGATATGAAATAAAGCAGAGACTTGTCATCCAGGAGCTTGATGCCATTGACAGTTATGAGCAGAGGAGACCATTAAGTATCTTTCTGAACAGCAACTGGATGTAGTTGAAAGAGTCTGGACTTGAGGTCAGAAGACCTGGGTGCAGGTCTTAGATTTGTCACTTTCAGCTGTATGGCTTTGAACAAGTCAGCTCTTTCTGAGTTTCAGTTTCCCTGTCGGCCAAATGGGAAAAACATCGCCTGCCTTGCCCACCAAAAAAAGTTATAGGCATCAAATAAGATAAAAACTGCCTTGTAAAGGATAGAGTTCTATGTAAACATAAATTGTTTGGTGGATTAAAATGGATATTAAAAAAATGATTTCTGTGGTTTAAAATTGTTAATATAAGTTTTATTAAAATTTGCATATGTAAACTAAAGATGGTTGGCTTTCCCCTCAAAGGGCTCATTTTCATTTTTTCCTGTGTGTTCAGTGACTTGCTGATCCTGAGTAATGATGTCAGTGTCTTCATTTACAGGCCTCCAGCCTCAGCTTCTGGGGGCCAGCAAAGATGGTCTGTGCCATCACCAAGCCAGTACCTAAAATGCAGACTTGAATCTCACTTGAAAAAAAAAAAATGCAGTTCCACACATTAATGGCAAGAGGAATTTATGGCTACTGGTATAAAACAATGCTCACTGCCAAAAAGGAAAGAAATGTTAGAGAAAAGCTTCCACGACAATGACTTCCTGCAGAAAACTTGATCCGACCTTCAACTGCTGGATAAATTACTTTCATTTTTAAGATATATCCAGAAACCACGTTGATATCTTGGTCACCTGGAAAACATATATACATTATTTTAACTACAGAATAAGTAATTACCAATTAAGAGTAAGAGGTGGGAAAACCAACGTATTTCTCTAAAGTCTTTTGTAATTGTAAGAGGGAAGATACTACTTTCATAAGCAAGGATAAAATGTCACAAAAGACAAGAAAAGTGATTACAGGTGCAAAGAATTTGATTGCTTTTTCATGTTCCAGATGTGAAATGTGCCCACTGTTGACTACTAGATAACTGGAGGGAATAGTCATCTCAAAAGGTTGTTGACCTTTAATATTGCTTTTGAACCACTCCAAAACAAGGGCATTAGGGAAATGGTTGAGAGCAATTAGTTGAGACATAAAAGTGGCTTCCTTCTGCTTGCCTGGTCAGAAGTCATTTTCGCATAATTGACAGACAATGGAGACTTCATTTCCAAAAGAGAGGAGACCTGATAAATACTAATTGCCTATAACTACAACAAACCCATAGGGACCTGACAAAATTTTGTTTTAAAAATACCACTCAACAGATCATATATCTGATAAGCAGTTAATACCCAAAATATATAAAGAACTCCTAGAACTCAAAAGAAAAACAAAATAAAAATCTGATTAAAAAATGGGCAGAGGATCTGAATAGATTTTCCAAAGGAGACCTATAGATGCCCAACAGATACATGAAGAGATACTGAATATCACTAATCATCGGGGAAATGCAAATCAAAACCACAGGGATATCCCTTCTCTGTTTAGAATGGCTATTATCAAAAAGACTAGAAATAACAAGTGTTGGCAAGGATGTGGAAAGTGCACCCTTGTGCACTATTGGTGGGAATGTACTTGATGTAGTCACTATGGGAAACAGTATGGAAGCCCCTCAAAAAATCAAAAATAGAACCATTGTATGATCCAGCAATTCCACTTTAGAGTATTTGAAGAAAACACACTAATTCAAAAAGTAACATGCGCCCCCATGTTCACTGCAGCATTATTTATAATAGACAAAATAGGGAGAAAACACTAAGTGTCTGTGGTAGATGAATGGATAAAGAAAATGTGATTCCACACAAGGAATACTATTCAGCCATTAAAAGAATGAAATATTGCCTTTTGCGATAACACGGATACACCTTGAGAGCATTGTGCTAAATGAAATCTATCAGAGAAAGACGAATACCATCTCCTCTCACTTGTATGTGGAATTAAACAACAGCCACAAAACCAAACTTGCATATATAGAGAACAGACTGGCGGTTGCCAGAGGTGGGGGTAGGGGGGTGGGAAAAATGGGTGAAGGGGGTTAAAAATCCAGACTTCCAGTCACAAATAAGTCATAGGGATGTAATGTACAGCATGATGACTAGAGTCCATACTGTATTGCATATTGAAAGTTGCTACAAGGGCAGATCTTAAAAGTTTACCTCACAAGAGAAAAAAATTAGTGACTGTATGATGTTAACTAGACATTGTGATCATTTTGCAATACATACATATATTGAACCATGTACACCTGAAATTAAAACATTGTGTTGGGGCGCCTGGGTGGCGCAGTCGGTTAAGCGTCCGACTTCAGCCAGGTCACGATCTCGCGGTCCGTGAGTTCGAGCCCCGCGTCAGGCTCTGGGCTGATGGCTCGGAGCCTGGAGCCTGTTTCCAATTCTGTGTCTCCCTCTCTCTCTGCCCCTCCCCCGTTCATGCTCTGACTCTCTCTGTCCCAAAAATAAATAAACGTTGAAAAAACAAACAAACAAACAAAAAAAACATTGTGTTATATGTCAATTATACCTCCACAAAAAAAAATACACTAGTATTTTTAAAAAGAACTCTCTGCAGTGGTTCTCATCCCTGCATTAGAATTGCTGGAAGAGTCTTTTCCCCAACACAATTATATTGGAATCTCTTAAAAGCTGGGGCCAAAGTATTGATATTTAATTTAAAATGTTCTCCAACTAAGTCTGATACACAGCTAGGGTTGAGAACCCTTAGGGCCAAGGCTTCCTCAGCCTTCTATGTGAGCTCCTCTCTCAAACTTAGTCTGGGTTTAGTCTGCACAGCCCCCAGCCTCTGTCTCATGTGGGACCCAAGAGGACACCTCTGTAAAGCCTGTGCTTCCATCGTCTTTCATGGAATGTACAGAAGTAGCTAGCATCTTTCCTGGCAGGAAGGCTGCCTCCTTTGCCCTGGCTCCGCTCTCCACCCTCCTTGAAACAAGAGGCTGAAACAGCAGGCCCACCACAGGAAAGCTGACGAGGAAGTACCAGAGCTCTTTTCTGGAGATGCAAAGCTGTGCACATGCTTTATAAGCACGTTGGCTTCTGCCCTAGAGAAGAGGAAGGGGTAGTATATTCTATCAATGGATCAATGGACTTCATGCATGTGAAGTGGTTTTTTTTTTTTTTTTTTTTTTAATGGCCCTGTGCTGGTGGTATCCTCTGGGCCTCTGTGGGACTCAAATCTACCATCAGCCAACTTCCATATGGTTTTTAAAAGTGAGGTTGCAGTATAATGACCCTAAATGCTGCCAAAAATACTGAGGTCAGGTGTGGTTGTTCCTTTCAATACTCCACCAACCCAATGTGCTAAAAAGGGGGAGGGGAGCACAGCCCATCTACTCCTACCTAACCTATTCACACTAAAAGCTTCAAGAAAGCTTATAGGATTTTCCAGATCCAATCTAAAGTTCTAGAGATGAGGTTTCTCGTTAAGTGCAAAACCCATTGATACTTCACAATTTAAATAGCTGTTTATACATACTTAACAGAATTTTAAAACATTTTGGGCTTGGATGGGTGGCTACGTGTGCCGAAGAGGGGTAGGGCACATATTCTCCAATGCAGTGCTGCTATTTTCCAACAAAGCAGGAGGGAGGCGGCAACAAAGGGGCAGGATCTGATTTCTGGCACTGCAGTCCTGGCATCCTGAGTAGCTTCCCTCTTTGGCCCAGTTTTGTTCTGGAGTACTTTGGAGTAGGGAGAGGAAGAGACACTTGTGCTTACCAGAGTCGTGTCTTAATGCTTCATCTTTTATCATCTGGAATCCATCTCCACCATTGGCAAGGAAGCTTGGAAGGATAACCTTATATATCTCATCCATTCTGAGAGGCTCATAACTGGGCACTCGACACTGGGTGCAAAGAACATCCAATTTGACCACTCTGTCCCCAGGTTTTCGGGAAAGATCATACACCACATGAATTCCTAGAAAAGAAAAGAATCTGTATGTTTTCACTGGATCCAGAGGGAAATTTCTGTTTTCTAAGAAAGAGATTTGGCCAAAATATGGAATTGGGGCACTGGGCTTGGTTTTCACTGAGTTTGAGCTTGAGTGAAATTTCAGCAAGAATTGAGGTGACATTGCAGCATTTGGTTAGATTGCGTTTGCATTTCTCGGTTAGGTTTATCCTTGAGTCTTGGGAGGTCTGAGAACCACTGGGAGGAAAACTGGCTCTGCCTCAGTATGGGCAAGGGGTAACAGTGCAGGGAGAAACCACATCTTTTTAAAATCCTAAATGAGTTGGTCAGCCACTTGGTTCAATGGCTTTGGAAAATGAGAAATAGATGAGAGGTACAGAACATTTGTTCTAATTTTGAAGACTACTAAATGATAATAATTTGGGTTTGGATGACTTTCACAAGACATGTAACTACCCAGCACTGTGATGGAGCATCAAAACCCTGTTGTTCCCCCCATGTCTCTCCTGGAAAAGTGAAGAATGTGTGGGTTATCCCACAGGCGTTAGGCCATGGCTCCACCACCATCTGCAGCTCCCCCCCTCAATCCAAAGAGTTGGGGGTTCTGTAGAAGGAGGACTTGACAAAGCAATCACACTATCAAGTGAGGCCCACCATCTACAGTAAAAAAAAAAAAAGGGGGGGGGCAAATTATGGTATCAGTATCAAGGTTATAAATTTAACGATTAATTCGTTGGACTGTGGAAGTTATTATTGACAAAAGTGTTTCACATTCACAAGTCCTTGGCAATTTGGGAAGCATTTATTTTCATTCAGTTTTCACTGTGATCCATGAGATGAGCAGGGCAGATGTTTTCAGAACATTCAGAGAGGTTGAAGACCTGTCCCACGTCACAGTGGAACTAGAAACAGGTGTTCCGATGTGTCTATGTAGTCGGCCGCCCCTCCCAGACATCATCCTTGCTAATACTGATTGGATATTGAATTCTTTTGAACCTCTGCATGGTACCAGGCAATTATGAATAGAACAGAGAATGGTGGTTTTGGTTTTTTTCTACAAAAGAATACTGAGTGTTTAAACAACTAAGATTTTAATAGAAACTAGACCTCAAGGCCGCTGACCTGCTTAGAGTCTGGAGGGCCAGCTCCTATAGTGAGTCTATCTGACATCCAAATCAGGCGTAGCAACTACTGCTCATTGCCAAGGCATTGAGGCGTTGACCCTGACCTAATCTCAGTTGGTCTGGGAGCCCATGACCATTGAGAGACTATGCATTCATGCTGGGTGGGGGGAAAACCTAAACAAATCTGGCAGTGGAGGTCCTGGGGAGTGAGGAACTAAGCCAACCAGCAGGACAAACCCACTTCACTTCAAAGGGTGACTTACCGCCCACCTGCAGGAACTCTCCAGTGGACTGGCCATAGCGGTACACGCTGTGCTCAAAGGCCGCCTTCAGGGTGGAGCCTTTTAATTGGACCAGGTCAAAGGTTCCTCCGAAGGGCAACACAGCAGCCAGGTTCTCCCAGGTAATTGTGCCTGACGGTAGTTGTAGATGGGGTGAGAAGGAAAACAGCTTGAGAATAAGATTACCCCAAGACCAGGTTCCTTTAGGGTTGGTGGAGATGAGGGAGACAAGAGGCTATTGGAAGGCTATTAGTACAGCATCAGCTGTGTGAGTGGTTCCTGACACTCAGGGAGGGAATGGATTCAAGAGGCCTCTGGCCATGCTCTCAACCACTGGGCAAGATGGCAGGCGCTCATAAATGGCTGTGGCTCCAAAATCACCAGTGCTCTGCCCTGGATCTCTGGCTTATAGCTGGGTCTTCAGTGGGTGTTGAGCATTGCCCAGTTCCTCCAGACAGGCGGTGTGTCCCTGCCACCTGTCCTTGTTTGACAATGAGATGAGCTTGGGGCTTTACACTGAGACTACCTGGTTTGACAGCAGATCAGGGAAGACTGCAAGAGCGGTTTGAATATCTGACTAGTTGGTTTGTTTTACCATGCAAGATCCTGGATATCTGTAAATGCACTAAAAGAATTTAATCCAGTAGGGTGTTGTTGTTTTTTTTGTTTTGTTTTGTTTTTGTTTTTTTCCAGCACAGAACATGGACAGTTTGTCCCTTTCTCTTTCCAGGTATCAAGGAGGCGGCTGTTGGTAATCAGCAATAATTAGCATTTGGCTTTGTGTGTCAGAAGTTTAGATCAAGATTGGGTTCCATTCACCCTCGCTCTCCACTCTGTGTGAATACATATGAGAACACACAAGCATGTGTGTGCCCTTCTGCTTAGGCACTGACTTGAGTAGCAGTTAACCGAAACTGGAGAGGCTGACATTGTGGTACATGGCTGACAGGACAGATGAGCTGAGGCCACCCAGGGGCACGGTCAGAGAGAGACCTGAGCTGACACCCTGAGCCTGGGAAGCATACCGTTGTTCCGCTCGTCAATGGGTGACCGAATGCCACCTCCATTTAGAATGCACATGGATACATGGTTCCAGGACACTTCATCCGAGTGTCTAATGTTGTTGTTAATCTGCAACAGTAGCATGAATTTACATTAGTTATTCTAGACCTTCTTCCATAGTATCAGTTTTAGGGATTTGGTTATCTCTACCATGGAAATAAAGCTGCTTCTTCCTGCTCCTGTGTTCCCAGAGATTTCTCAAGTATAGTCAGTCAGAACTAGTTTTATGCTCTGAGAAGCAAAAATAAGAAATAGTGACCAGTCCCGTGTCAGACTCTTAGAAGCAAGTAGCCCTGAGCCCCCTTTCCTAAGACCCTTCTACTCTCAGGCCAGTGGGCATTAGCAAAACTGGCTCTTGTGTCAGGACAGGACCTCCATGCAAATTGGTCCACCATACCTCTCCTTCCCCACCTCTTCCAGGCCCCACACTTGCTCCTGAAGACGTGACCTGAAAACCTTTCCACTCAGGACCTCAAGCCAACAAGATCCCTGGCCTCCATGTCAAATTTCCAAGTTGGCAATTTTGGAGGCACAGAGATGGCCTCCTGAAATGGGAGAATCCGTTTCTTTTCTTTTACAAAAATATGTGTTTAGTTACAAGAAATAAAATGAATATATTCTCATTTGAAAAAAAAATAGCACAAAAGCAAGTGTTGTCTTAACATTTGCCTCTGCCTCTTAAAAGAGAGGTAAGCACTGCTAACGGCTTGTTTCCTTCCAGACTTTTCTCTAAACATTCCCATACTGGCTACTCTTTAGCTACTTTTTTTTTTTTTTTTCAAAATAGGATTCTTCTTTAATATTATGATTTTTTAAAGTATAATGTATTGTCAGATTGGCTAACATACAGTGTGTAAAGTGTGCTCCTGGTTTTTGGGGTAGATTCCTATGGTTCATTGTTTACATATAATACCCAGTGCTCATCTCAACAAGTGCCCTCCTCAATGCCCATCACCCATTTTTCCCTCTCCCCCACCCTCCCCCATCAACCCTCAGATTGTTTACTGTATTTAAGAGTCCCTTATGGTTTGCCTTTCTCCCTCCCTGTTTGTAACTTTTTTTCCCCCTTCCCTCCCCCCATGGTCTTCTGTTAAGTTTCTCAAGATCCACATATGAGTGAAAACATGATCTGTCCTCTGACTTATTTCACTCCGCATAATAACTTTCAGTTCCATCCACCTTGCTACAAATGGCATGATTTCATTCTTTTTCATTGCCAAGCAGTATTCCATTATAGATATAAAATACATCTTTATCCATTCATTAGTTGATGGACATTTAGGCTCTTTCCATAATTTGGCTGTTGTTGAAAGTGTGGCTATAAACATTGGGGTACATGTGCCCCTATGAATCAGCACTCCTGTATCCTTTGGATAAATTCCTAGTAGTGCTATTGCTGGGTTGTAGGGTAGTTCTATTTTTAATTTTTTGAGGAACCTCCACACTGTTTTCCAGAGTGGCCGCACGAGTGCAACAGTGCAAGAGGGTTCCCGTTTCTCCATATCTTTGCCAGCATCTATTGTTTCCTGAGTTGTTCATTTTAGCCACTCTGACCAGTGTGAGCTGGTATCTCAGTGTGGTTTTGATTTTTATTTCCCTGATGATGAGTGATATTCAGCATCTTTTCATGTGTCTGTTGGCCATCTGAATGCCTTCTTTGGAAAAGTGTCTATTCATGTCTTCTGCCCATTTCTTCACTGGATCATTTGTTTTTCAGGTGTTGAGTTTGGTAAGTTCTTTATAGATTTTGCATCCTAGCCCTTTATCCAATATGTCATTTGCAAATATCTTTTCCCATTCTGTCAGTTGCCTTTTAGTTTTGTTGATTGTTTCCTTTGCAGTGCAGAAGATTTTGTCGTGATGAGGTGCCAGTAGTTCATTTTTGCTTTTGTTTCCCTTGCCTTTGGAGATGTGTCGAGCAAGAAATTGCTGCGGCTGAGGCCAGAGAGGTTTTTTCCTGCTTTCTCCTGTAGGGTTTTGATGGTTTCCTGTCTCACATTTAGGTCTTTCATCCATTTTGTGTTTATTTTTGTGTATGGTATAAGAAAGTGGTCTAGTTTCATTCTTCTGTATGTTGATGTCCAGTTCTCCCAGCATCGGAGACTTTTTTCCATTGGATGCTCTTTCCTGCTTTGTCAAAGATTAGTTGGCCATACATTTGTGGGTCTAATTCTGGGTACTCTATTCTATTCCTTTTGTCTATGTGTCTATTTTTGTGCCAATACCATACTGTCTTGATGATTACAGCTTTGTAATAGAAGCTAAAGTCTGAGATTGTGATGCCTCCTGCTTTGGTTTTCTTTTTCAATATTACTTTGACTATTTGGGGTCTTTTGTGGTTCCATACAGATTTTAGGACTGTTTGTTATAGCTTTGAGAAGAATGCTGGTGCAATTTTAATTGGGATTGGATTGAATATGTAGATTGCTTTGGGTAGTACTGACATTTTAACAATATTTGTTCTTCCAATCCATGAGCATGGAATGTTTTTCCATTTGTGTTTTTTTTCAATTTCCTTCATAAGTGTTCTATAGTTTCCAACATACAAATCTTTTATTCTTTGGTTAGGTTTGTTCCTAGGTATTTTATGGTTCTTGGTGCACTTGTAAATGGGATCAATTTCTTGATTTCTCTGTTGCTTCATTATTGGTGTATAGAAATGCAACCAATTTCTGTACATTGATTTTGTACCCTGCAACTATGCTGAATTCATGTGTCAGTTCTAGCAGCCTTTTGGTGGAGTCCTTCGGGTTTTCCATGTAGAGTATCATGGCATCTATGAAAAGTGTCTTCAGCTACTTCTTTTGTGTGACTGCATAATGTTGAAGAGCCAGCACTGGTCTGACCTTGGGAAGTGTGGACATTGTCATTTACTTGGCAGTCAGTTATTGAGAGTATATATATCAGGCACTGGGCTCCAGGTACCAAGCACAGTGCCAAGCACAAAGAATCAGCCCTCTGGGTGCGGACTTTGGTGGGAGTGTTAAGTCTGGCCTGGGGACCCTGGTTCAGCATGGCTCCCCAGGGGCTGCCAACAGCCAGTCTCTTGTAGACAGGTAGACAGTGGGGTGTTTTCTTGAGTGATCTATTCAGCCACAGGCCTTATCATAACTGCATGTCGTCATTCTCTGCTTGTGAAGGAGGCTTCCAGTCACACAAGGCCTTTTTCTCTGGATCCAAGAGGGCAGATCAGTGAGACACTCTGGCCAATTTAGGCCCAAGCAAATGTGTTTTATCTACTATGTCTACATCTTCAGAATAGTGAAGTTTCACGTATTCAGATCATCTTATAAAAGGAAAGCAACATCCAAAATTCAGACATCCAAGGTGAATACCTATCAATAAAGCTTTCAGTTCTTGTGCAATAAAGTGATGGTCAACTGGTATAGTTTAGGCCCCTTCCCAAGGTACTACTCAGTATGAATCTACCCCAAGCTATTGTTTGCATATTAATTTTTAAAGACCTTGAATTTTGTAACAGGCTGTCCCTCCTTGCAACCTTCCTCCCTCCCCTCTTCCTCTAAGCACAGGCCCTGCACTCCTGGGGACCACTCACCATGGCATCACAAATCAGGTTGCCCATGTTGCATTCCTTAAAGCGGCATGACTGAGTGGAGCCATCCAGATAGACAATTGTTTTCCCTAATTCCTGAGTAGAAAAATTGTCTAATTTTATCCTCCATTTGTTAATGTCTGCTTTTATGCTTGGATCTAGAAAAAAGTAAAACAGAAGAAAACAAAACAAAAAACAAAAAAATCAGTTGCCATTAAGGCAGATCTCACCCTGGCCTAAATTTTGGAGAAGGAATCAAAGATCATTTAGCTTACCTGTTGTGACTATACATTTCTTTACCCTATTTGTCTACATTTTCGTTTTGACTATAAAATTTCCTCAGAAAATTCTGTTCCTTGGTAATAAGACTAGGAATGGATCTGAACTTAAAGATGCACTGAGTATCCTAACATCAACTCATCACACCTGAATGAGCACCTGTGGACCCACTTGGGATAGCATTGCGGGGGGGGGGGGTGGGGAAAGGTGGGGATGATGAAAGGTCCCCAGGGCAGGTCTACAGGGCCTTCTGAGGTTCTGCTGTGCAGTCCCGGCCTCTCCCTCTGGCTGTTGAGATGGTCTGTGCTGTGAGCACAGGCTCTGCAGGGCACCCCACTGCCCATCTCTCCCTGGTCCAATCATGGTGAGAGAGGCCCAGGGCTGTGGTCATGTACACCACATGTAAACAGGTGACATAAGATGTATTTTATTCTGAGTCCCAGACAAAAAAGTAAAAAAGACACTCCCTCATGTGATAAAGAAACAGAAGCCCACTGAGACTGGGCAACTTGCCGTGGGCACACTGCTGGTGGTGGGGCTTTGAACCCCTTTGCAGCTCTCCTCTGGACATGAGCTGAGTGGCTTTTCCATGCCTGGACAAAGCTTGAAAAGACACAAGAGGCAGTGACACGGTGTCTGATGCTGAGAGGAACTGGGAAAGCAAATGGGATATTGGGCATTTGAGTGTATTTTCAATCTTCTTATCCATGAAGAGGGCAAACTTAAGAGAGAATTCTATTCTTTAAAGGTGCTACAGCCTTGCCTTGAAACATTAACAACAAGAACAAGGTCCAGCCATCATTTACCCACCTTCCACAATGCTGCTGTTGAGAAGAATGGGATTTCCATGCGAAGCGATGACATTTCCTTTTTCATCAAACTCAACCTTCAAATAGCCTAAGTATTTGCCAAAAGCATAAGCCTGGACCACAGGAACCTTCCGCCCATCATCGGACGTGACTATGAATGGGTACTTCCCAGCTGGCACCTCTTTGGAAGGTGGAGTGCCTAAAACAGAAGAGCCAAAGCTGATCAAATCAGCCCTTGTACACAGCTTGGCTGCAGGCCAGCAGGCCACAGGCCAGATGACAGGGAATTCTGAATTGATGATGTGCTAGCTGCTGCCCCACATAGCTTGTCTTTCAGAGCTGCGCTCGGACATCTGTGCATTTCCGAAGGCCCTTTTGGCACATGAATCCTTCCATTTTCAACTCAGCAAGTGTTTGGTAAGCTCTTCCCACATCTATGGTCCTGCGCCTGGTACAGTGGGGGACACAAAAACGCGGTGGGGCCAAGATTATCCTACCTCTATCTTGACTCAGGCTCAATTCTCAATAGCTGGGTAGAATAGCCAAGCCACTTCACTTCCCTGTATTTCAGTTTCCTTACCTGTAAAATGGGCGAAATAATGATTCTTACTTCACAGGGTGGTCTAAACTTCCTAGCACAGTGCCTGGCACACAGTAGATAATAAATGTGTATTTCCTTCCCTTATGAGGTGATGACAACCTCTAGAAACCCTAGACGTACAATCTAGAGCTTAGGATCCTTAGTGGAACATGAGTAGAAACAACTGAGCCTGTCCTCAGGTTTTGCTGCTAAAATTGGAATTCCTTTAGGTGCTTTTCAGAAGAGCCACGTTCACCCTGGCAGTCAACTGGCACGCACACTACTCATCCAGCCAGACCTCATACAGGCTAGATTCTGCCGACTTCTGTCTCAAAGGGGTCCCCTGGGGACAGCCTGGAAGCCAACTCAGACCCAGAGGCTGAGGGGCTTCCCCCACCACTGCCTCCTGGACACACGATTGCACAAGGGTGGGGAGCCCTGCCGTATGGGGCACAGGCCCTGGCTTCTAAGCACTTGGCATGTTTCTGTAAGTGCAACGCTCCTTCAGGCACACTGCAGTTCGCATCTTACCTCCAGAGAGCTAATGACCCAGTTTGGCTGTTTTGAATCACAGATTATAGGTGGCTCAGTCGCTTGAGCGTCTGACTTTGGCTCTGGTTATGATCCCATGGGTTCATGGGTTTGAGCCCTGCACTGGACTTGCTGCTGTCAGTGCAGAGTCTGCTTTGGATCCTCCCTCCCCTCTGCCCCTCCTCCGCTCTCTCTCGCGCTCTCTCTCTCTCAAAAATAAACAAACATAAAAAAAAACCCAGATACCCTTGACCCATTGCTCTTTCTACTCACCCTCCAAACACCCTGACCAGTCCTTCCTATTAGAGGTTTACAGAGGGGCCAGGAAAACTTCAGCACATTTGTTACTCACATGGATTGGTTATGAGAGCTGGCCCAGAGCCAGGCTGTGCACTAGATCTCATTTAATCTTCTAAGCATTCCATGAGGCAGGTTCTATTACTGTCTCCACTTTACAGATGAGAACGTTGATTGTCATAGGCAATGTGCCCAAGGTCACACTGGTACATGCGTTATGTGCAGTATGGCTGGTATGTGAAGGAGAGCAGACTGAAAGCGGGGGTGAAACTGGAGCTTCTGTTCTCTCCACTGCCCAACACAGCCTATGCTTGCTTGTCTCACAATGCCTGAAAGAGTCGGTTGCCAAAGGTCGCTCACTAAATCCAGTGCTGCACCTTTCCACCCCAAGCTGTTTCTGGGTTTCTCTTTTCACCTAAGACAAGCTGGGGTGGATGTCATGAAAACCTCACTCCTTCTCTGGTCCTATAGAGCAGCCCCCATTCCAGCCTAATACCAAAGAGCAGAAGTGCAGCAAATACCAGCACCTCAGAAGCAGGAAACAGCTGTTGCCCACTTTAGTTTCCCATTTTCTTGCTCCCTCTGGAAAAAAAAAAAAAAAAGAAAAAAGAAAAAAGACCAAAGTTTTGGAACTTGACTCTTACAAAAGCACCTGACTGGAGGCCCCGTGCAGGACTTGCCCCATCTCCACCTGTGGTGTACAATCTCATGGGTGACTGGCAGGTGTCAGCCCTAACAGTTATAGATGATCTCACACATTGCAGAGGAGCAGGGAAGGTTAACACAGTCATCATCCTCATTCTTCTCTGCACTGGTTCTTATTTGGGCAATCCTGGAGCCTGGACCAGGGCTGGTGTGGTAGCCCCTTCTCACCTTCTCACCTGGGGAAGGTTAGAGACAGTAGTTCCTCCTATGAACCCAGAGATGCAAGTGCAATTGGGAGGTGCAGTTCCCAACACGTCCACGAGATGGCAGAGAACACTTCGTCCAGGAGGAAAAGGCACTGTCCGTTTTAGAAACGACTGTGGCAGTTTCCTGGACACCCCAGAGAAGGGCAAGCCTGTTGGGTGGTTTTTTTTTTTTTTTAGCCTTTCTTATTCTGCCTCACAAAGACATAATCAAACTTGAAATGAGTGTAACAGGATTTCGAGGATACAGTCAAATGCCTCATCAAATCAGCATGCACTCTACAAATAGGAGCTACTAACCCCAACTCCAGTCTGACAGGGGACATTCTCCGGTTCTGAAAGGCCTTGATGTTCCTTTTGTTAGAACATAAGACATATCATCTGCTTCTTAAAGGGACTTAATCAGGAACAAGGAGGATGCTTCCCAGAGGCTGAGGAAATAGCTGGTCCAGTTTGGCTTAGTCTCTGCCTCCTCCACAGCTGAATGTTCTCTGCGTCTCTGCAGAGTTAGTGGTTCTGTTAGAAAACCACTAACAGAGAAAGCCATCCAGGGCTTCACATTTTCCATACTATTCTATTCAGCCAAAGATGCTCATGCCCAAAATATTATTTCCGCACAGAGCCACATGTCTGTCTTTAGAAACCCAATTTGTCATCTTGGCAGGAGAGACATTATTCACCAGAACTCCATTCCAGCCATCTAGTAAGTAAATAATCTGGGAACCAAACATGGAGAAGCCAAGGAATTGTGGGCTGACATTTAGAGTTGGTAAATGGGGCATTTCCTAGAATAGCGTGAACATCTGACGGAACCCACCAGGGTTCTGCCCTGGGGGCCTTGGCCACAGCAGCTCCTCAGGAATGTGACAGTTCTAATTACAGGCCTGGGCAACTGCCCTGCCAGTAGGCAGAAGGGGCCAAGATGATGGATCATGTGACAGAGGTGCCAAGAAGCAGGCCTTTGACATGGTTTTCAGTTGGTTAAATATAGTATAGAATGTTTCAAGGCAGTCCTTGGTACAATTTTATTGTGTATGGGACCAGTTTAAGAACTTCCATGCTTCCTATGTGGTACATATATGCAACACAATATTAGCCATAAAAAAAGGATGAGATCTTGCCATTTGCAATAACATGGATGAATCTAGAGGGTATTGTGCTAAGCAAAATAAGTTGGACTGAGAAATACCACGATTTCACTCATATGTGTAATCTAAAAAACAAATAAATTAACAAAAAGCAAAATCGGACCTATAAATATAGGGAAAAAAACTGATGGTTGCCAGTGGGGAGGAGTGCAGGGGTTGGGCATAACGGGTGAAGGGGAGTGGGAGACACAGGCTTCTGATTATGACATGAATAAGTCACAGGAATAAAACGCACAGCATAGGGAATATAATCAATGATATGATAATAGCCTCATATGGTGACAGAGGGTAGCTACAACTTGTGGTGAGCACAGTGTAATGTATAGAGATGCTGAATCACTATGCTGTGTACTGAAATTAACACAATACTTCCATACTTCCTATGAAAGGACTAGATAAAAGTAATTAGTAATTAGCATATTTCACACCATTGCTTCTAAGGGAGAGTCTCTTTTTTAACTTACTTGGAAGTGCTTGGTCTGTCTACTTCTCTACCTCTCCTCAGGCAAGCCACACTCCTGGTCAGCATTATCTTGTGCCTGGGTTACTGCAATGGCCTCCTAACTGGTCTGTATGCCTCTTCTTTGCCTCTTTTTTTAAAAAAAAATTTTAATGTTTCTTTATTTTTGAGGAAGAGAGAGACAGAGTGTGAGTGGGGGAGAGGCAGAGAGAGAGGGAGACACAATCTGAAGCAGGCTGCAAGCTCTCAGCCATCAGCACAGAGCCCGACGCAGGGCTTGACCTCACAGACCACGAGATCCTGACCTGAGCCGAAGTCAGACGCTTAACCAGCTGAGTCACCCAGGCGCCCCTTTGCCTCTTTCTAATCCAGTTTCCACACAGCAGCCTGAGTGAGGTTTCTAAAACATAAATACGATCATGTGTTCCCTGGTTTAAAATATCTCTTACTGTCGTAGGAAAAACAGGACAATTTTTGACAAGAATATCATAACCTACGTGATGTGGCCCTTTCTTGCCTTGCCAGCTTCATCTAGACTGACCACCCTGTGCATCAGCAGTCTCGGCTTCTCTCACCCCCCAAGCCACACCTGCCTCCAAAGCCTTGGACTATGGGTTGCCACCTGGAGCCAAAGGCCTACATGTGCATTTGTGACATTTTGCTTCAGTTTAGTCTTCTGTAAAATGGGGAAAATAACAATACCAGCCTCCATGCTTGCTGGGTGGGTTACAGAAGTTAATGCAGTGAGGAAAGCCTACGTTGGTAAATGCTCCATAAAGATGAGTGATCATTATTTACCAACTTTAGCTCCTGGATGTCTTTCTGATCTCAGCCCAAATGTCAGCTTTTCAGGAGAACACTGTGTGACGATCCCCCAGCGTTGGTCAGGTTTTCCTATAGATGCTCTCACAGCATCTGGAACTTCTCCCTTCATAGCATGCTTTGTAATTATATATGATAAGGTTGATTTGTTTGCATACTTAAAAAAATCTGATCAGGGTCGATATCCCTTATAAGACAAGTTCCAGGAAAACAGGGGCTGCCGTGTCTCCTGGGTTTGCCCAGCATACAGCAGGCATTCAATAAATGTTTGCTAAATGACTAAGCTTAAGTAGGTTAGCCAACACTTTCCCATGGATCAGACAAGACTTCTATGCTTTCCCTGTAGTGGCATCCATATGCCTGAGGGGGCAGGGTCTGAGTGCCCACCCCTTCTTCAAACTCCTTTCAATTCAATTTTCTCAACTAATGAGCTGGGTGGGGCTTGTAAAGCAG